TGCAAATTTTCAGTTTTTTTTGAAACAACACTCTTATGGATTTTCTTTTTTTTAAGACCCCCCTCTTATGGGCTTCCGCTTTTTTTTTTTTTTTGAAAAACAACACTCTTATAGATTTCGTTTTTCTTTTTTTAAACAACACTTTTAAGGATTTCCTTTTTTTTTGAAACAACACTCTTAAGGAATATGCAAAACTCCTCTCTGGAGTAACACCTCGTTTTTTGCCTCTTATGACAACTATTGTAGTTGCTCGTAGAAAATCAACATTTTCAGATACAAGTCACCGGGATATCTCGGTCTCCTTGAGGTAATTTGATAAATCCGATTTATACAACCACCACCACCACCACTGCCATGATTGTGGAAGAATCAACGGCCAAATAATCCAAGAGAGAAAGAGAGAGCACTAGCTGCCACAAACACAGTCGGCACGCCACAAATACTTACCTTTGCGTGCTTCTTACACAAAAACAAAAAAATATCTCGACAAAACACGAAAAAGTATTAAAAAAAAACCTTCTACCCTAGCTCTTTTTTTTTGTTCTCGTTTCATTTTCTTTAAAATTTACCTCTAAGTATGAAAAAAACCTTCTGCCCTAGCTCTTTTTTCTCATTTTCTACAAAATTTACTTCCTTTCCATTCTAATTTACTTCCTTTCCATTCCTCTTCGCATTTCCTCATTTACACACCTTTTTACTACTTTTTTTTATAAACTTTCATATACTTATTACAAATTTTAAACCATAAGCGCCGTAACAGCACAAGAAAAAAAAGTGATTTTGTGGTTTTGGTTTCGTGATTTCGTCCATCAAATTATGATTCCAGCGTTTTTTTTTTTTGCCTTATTGGCAGTAATTTGCTTCAGGAAAAAAAAATTAGGTGTCCCATTCGGTGTTAACACTTTTTTTGCCTTCTTATCGGCAAAGATTTGCTCTAGGAAAAAAAAAAGAAACCATCAGCTACTACTCCAATGAAGCGAAGATGAAACATGACGAAGTGTGCACAGGAACGTATCACAGATGGACGAGAAGTGCACCAGAAGATGTGCATGAAATTTCAAACGTATTCTGCTTTTACAAAAAAAATTTTTGGATTATTTCCAAAAATTCGTAGGAATTATGTGGAAAAGAAAATAAAGGATATTACAAAGTGGTGAGCCCTG